GTGAAAAATGGGATAGGGTACAGGCAGTTTTGCAAAGGTAGAAGTTAATTTACACCTCTACCCCGATATAACATGAATTCAGATATAATGCGGTAAAGCAGTGCTGGGGGGGGGGGGGGCAGCTGCGCACTCCGGTGGATCAAAGCAAGTTCGATATAACGCCATAAGATTTTTTGGCTCCCGAGGACAGCGTTATATCGGGGTAGAGGTGTAGTTAGCTTTTAGTAAGATTCGCTCTACCTACTGCTACTATTTTCTTCCCTGTCCCTCTATGAAAAGCTCAACTGCTTCAGTAGGAGCAGTTCCAGTGGCAACCCCTACTCCTCTCCAAGATCTGGACTAGGAGAACCTTCTGCTTATAAAAACTTGTCCCTCAGAAGTGTGCTGGGGTTGCGTGGGTGTGGCAGCTAGGAATCCCTACTGGGATTAGGCAACAAGCTCCTGAAAGGTCAACAGTGCCCAAGGGAAAAAGTTTTGCCTGTCTTCAGAAGCCAGTTTGGTTTGCACTGTGTTTTGTCCCATGAAGATAGCACTGACGTATAATATCAGAGGGTGAACAGAAGAAACAAGCGCGCTTAATGCTATCAAGGGAACCTGAGCAGCACAGCTATCTAAAAGTTACACTATTCTACGTCTTGTCCCTTTTTAAGAAGGGGTTTTCTTGCAAAGGCAGAAGCCTGTAACATGTAGGAAATGCTTGTGCACCATTGTTTGGGAAGGGAAAAACTTCTCACCAACAAGAAACTCCTCTGGATCTTAGACAAGTCAAGATCTCCTAAGGAACAAAGGAGTTTTTTTGTTTTTGTTTTGTTTTTAATAAGATCAAACTTTGTGCTGCCACGGCTTTATTGAACAAGCTTGGGTGTGAACTAAGTTACAGCTGTGTCAAGGTCCTTAGTACTTCCTTCACTAGTTAAAGTAGCATATCTAAACCCCCACAGTCACCAAATGCCTTTAAGTGCTAGGGGCAGATTAAACATTTGGTAGCTCTAAAAGTCCCATGAAGCCAGCTGTGCAGAACTGGGAAACTTTTTATGAATAGTGTGCCTACTGCTTGCAATAGCATGTTAGAGCAACCAAACAGGAAAGGCAAAACAATGACCTAGATAAGGAGCATCCCAGCAAATGCTCAACCACAACTGCCAGATTATTAGTTGTACCCAGCAGGTGCCAGCAAAGCTACAGAGATGTTTTTATCCCTCTCTCCTCAGCCTTAGTAAGATAGTGGCTAGTTGTAGGATTTGCCCCAGGGAGGGGGAGAAAGGTTTGGCAGCAGACTGAAAAGGGCTGTGGAGATGCAAACGAACCCTCAGATTCAGGAGCAGGGGCTGGAATAAAATGGCCCTACCTAAGCTATGGTTAGAGAGGTTGACTCATGCATATAGGCCTCTGACTAACCCTCTGCACTATGTGCCTTCTGGGTGGATGAATGAGTGAAATGCTTTGTTTTGACAAAACTGTCACTGCAAGCTTATTCTGGGAGGAAACTGCCTCATAGGTGCCCAATCCAGTTGGGCCTGTCAGATTTTTGTGGCTGGTAAACAGGGGGCCTGGAGCTCCAATCTAAAGACTATGCGGTTCCACCCAGAGCAGGAAACCAGGTTTGTCAGCCAAAGGGTGCAGCCGAGGGACTGAAAGGGGGTCTAAATTGCAGTTCACTAGCTAATTGCACATTTAAATGTCTGCCTACAGGAGGTAAAGTAGCATTCCCGCAAAACAGCTGCCTTCATAGGAAGCAAAATGCTGATAACTACCCCAGTATTCAAGCAGCTCCATAATCCTTTCAAAGATAGTGTCTCCAGCCAATACTAACAACTTACTTTAAGGTGGGGTGAAATTTTAATGATAAGACAGTGCCATTTAAAGACAATTTTCAACCAAACAGTAAGTCATTGAGTCTAGCTCAGTCTTCTACCTCTTAAAAAAAAAAAAAAAACACATTGTCAAACTTTAAGTAAAGCACTTACTGCCCGTTTCTTCTCATCCTGGAATGTCGCTTAGCAGCAAAGGGCTCTTCTCCCTCACAGCTAGAGGTGTGCCACATCAGATACAGAATTACAACTTCAAAGCCCTATCTTTAAAAAAATATTGCTCACAATTCTATTCATTACAAAACTGTAAAATATTGCTGGAAAGAAAAACCAGGGCATGATTAAGAGGTTTCCATTAAATCCAAACAGGTGGTGGTGATCTACTGCTGCGGTCACGAAAGGAGGTATGTCCTACCCCCATAAAAGCATTACACTCTCATTTTGAAAGTCATGATTAACACCACAGTGGTCACCTTACAAATTTATGGATCATCTCCAGGTAGAAAATTCCATTCACACACATTCTCCCTAAAAATACTTTAAAAAGGATTACAATTAAATTAAAAAAAAACACACCCAACCTCTAAGTATGCCATATGCTGCTATAGTGGATATGACAGGAGTATCTAGAAAAAATACTTTCAGTGCTTTTTTGGTAAAATACATGGGATGTTTTAAAGACAGCAGCTGGTTAGTTGTCATTATAGACCTGAATGCACCATCATCCAGAAGCTGAAAACTGCAGCCAGGTCTGGCCCTGGGGTTTCATTGCAGCATGGCAGTGAAGGAGCCAATGTACTACAGAACCTTAATTTATGTAGAGAGGGGAATGCCAGTGATCTTTCCAAATATGCACTTTCCAAATGGTTTGACTTTGTTCCCACTGGTTGCTATAATCTACAGCTGTGAGAATGTCTTGGTCTGCCAGCCCAAATTGAGCTTACATGTCTAGGAAGGTAAGAGTGTCTAAGAGATGATTTTAAATTAAGTTATTACACACACACACACACACACCCTGCCCTGATTTGTGGGTAATGTGCTTAGCTTTAAATAGTACTGGAAAAAACATGATTTACAAACTTATTGAAAAATTAAACATAAAAAAAAGTCTGACACTGAGAAATCAACTATTGCGAATAATGCACAGCCTACCATATAGCATTCAGAGCCCAAACCCCTTAACCACACACTTCAATAGACTTATTTAAATGGCATCTAGAAAGCAAAAATAGGTAGGTAGCATTCAGTAGAAATGCAGTCTCTGAGGAACAGGAAGGGGTAGTGCCCTGTCACAGTTCTCTTAACGCTCTAGAATTCACAGTATAAGAGAGATGTGAAGCAACTTCCAGTATTCCTTAATCTAGCCAACTACTGAAATGTGTGAATATTACACCACAACCCCCCCCCCCCCACTCACACACACTATGTTCAAACAACATCAAGGGACCAAAACCCATAAAAGCAAGGAAATGGAGAGTAAAGGTATAGAAACACCTGGGTAGTGAGACTTGGAGTTTTCTGGAAATATCTAGGGCCAATCGCAAGAGGCAAGTAGAAATGCCACACATGGACATCTAAGTAAACTGATTCTTCTGGCAGAAGGCCCCATCAATCACTAGGGTTTTCAAACAGCTGTTATTCTAAGGTGCAGTTTCTAAAATATGCATGAGAGTGGCTTAACCCCAGTATATCTGAAGGAATAAGACTTAAGAACCAACCCTTTTGTGAGGACCTATGGAGGCTATGCATGAGGGAATGCAAAACTGAAAACCTATTTAAAAAAACACATTCAGTACAGTGAGAAGTATGGCATACTGTTTTACAATATAAAAATATTCAAAAGGATCCACTATATTCTGGAAAATCCCAAGTAAATGTCAAAGCGTAACTCCTAGTATGTGATATGAATGTTCAGTTATTGACAGCAAAGCTTGTAAATCGGTGGTCTTTGTGCTCCAGGTAGTTTCTCTGCAGTTTTCCCCCTACCGCTCTCTCCTCCCTTTCTGGCCTTCTCTCAGTCAGGGAGAAACATCTCCTAGAAAGACAAGGTTAGGGTAAGTTGCCAGCTTCCTGTGGAAACACTCCCAGTGGCACCCAGTGAGGGGCATTTTAACACCACCAGCTTCACAAGGTGCTTTCCCCCTCGCTCCCAATAGTCAGATCCTTAAAGCATGGACCATAATTTTCCACCATGTGTCTAAAGTCAAGACCCTAAATAAGTGCCCTGATTTTTCAGAAGCCCCAAACACCCACAAATCCCAATGAAGAACCCAATGAGAAATGTGCAAGCAGAGTAATTTTATTTAGGAGCCTACATATGAGACAGGTACTTGACTTTCAGCATGAAGGTTGGAAAGAGAGGCAGTCAATGGGATTTTCCTCCTACCAAATTTGGCTTTTTAAAATGGTCTTGTCATGATCTCTCCACTGCTCCCATATTCATCCTCTCCCTCCACCTCCCTAACTCTCATCCACACCCTTTTTGTTTTGAATGGATCACACACACACGTGGACTGTTCAATTATACAGTATCGAGCATGCTATCTGGCCAAAACATGTCGGTGCGCCAATATAACTGATGCTGAGCACAGCTCTAGGAATAAAATGTTTGCTCGACAATGCTGCTGCCTTTATGGGTTCTTAAAGCAGCTTTAAACAGTTACTATTGTTTCCAAACTACTAAACTGAAAAGCTAGGTATTGAGGTCATAGCAGATCACAGCAACCTTAACTCAAGTTTTGGGGTCTTTTCTAGATTAGGAAAATAAGCAGATTTACTACTAAAGCAGAGGAGAACTATTTGTCAATCTTTGGCCTCAGGGCTAGTGCTGGGATAGAGCCCATCCCATAACCCCTCATTCACAGCTGCAGATAACAGAGCCTGGGGTGAAGGGGAAGAAGCACTTCCACTTCCAACCAGTGAGGTTCCATTGTAGCTTAGGTCTGTAAGACACCTTGATACTTGAAGTGCTATGCAAATCAACGTATCTGCATCTTCTGCTACTAGAGTTACAGGAAGTGCCTTGCTAGATCACATTCAGAATACTGAGATTCCAAGAGAAACCTAAAAAGCTCTGATAGATTTTTCATGGACTCGTGATGACTGGTCCTCTCTGGCTGTAGGTGTTCCCTCCTCCAGTGTTTCCAGAATTTGTGGGTCAGAACACGCATTTCTACCTGCTTACCTGGCCTTGCTATTCTTCAGCAATCTCGGTCTCCTGGTGGACAACGACCTTGGTCACAGACATGTCCGGGTGCTGCTCTTTTGCTTCTTTGATGGCCTGTACTAGAACCTGAGAAAGAAACATCTCTTCAGAGAAGCACTTTGGGCTGCATACAGCCGAACAGTTGAAAGTGAATTTCACTGCAGTCTCTCCCACGTCACCAGACCAGACACTGGAAATCCTGGCCTCACTGATGTCCATGGCAAAACTCCCATTCATTTCAGTGGAGGCAGGATTTCACCTAGTGGCTGCAGCCTTGAGCAGCAGGGGGAGGGCAGCAGGCTTGCCAGCCACTCCCACCCAGACCAGAGGGGAGCCAATCTGGGACAGCAGGTCCAGTTGACAGTCGCCTGAGGATGTAAAGAGCCTTAGCTCCAGGAAATTCCGCTGCTAGCCGACTTCATTGTTGCTACCTTCCCACCTTACAAGGATGATAACATTGTTTTATGTATGAAGCCACAAACAGGGAATGCTTTTGCAATTTGCATTTGGTTGAGTTGTTGGTCTACATTCACACTAACTCACGCTCTTGCTCTCCACTAACTAATATGAATCACCACGCAACCAGCCTTGTTTCTTCCTCCAGCCATCAACCACTACTTTGTTTGCATGTTGTGTCTCTTTCCACCTTACTACGTCTTCCCTGTCTATGTAGTTTTGGAAGCTCTTCAGGGAAGATACCATGTCTACATAGCACAGAGAGGTGCCCCACTCCTACTGATCTCTTGACACCATTACAATACCAATAGCAGCAGTATTGCCCATTTACTGTAGCCACCATCATCATCTTCACAGCACGCTAGAAAATACATAAAAACTGGAATTATTGGACGGTCATGCCTTTGTCATTGAGTGTTTATCCCACCTAACTAATCTCATTCAGCCTGAACTAGTATTTGTTCCTGTACAATTTATGGTTCTTATTTTACATGCTACAAAACCATAGTCTCATTGGGGTGGAATCATTTAGTCCTAAATCAGCAGATAATCAACTATTACATTTCAGTCTTCAGAGATCTGGGATGTGATTCTTCAATATACTTCCTGCATTGAAATTTGTTCCAGTTGTCACAAACCAATCTGTTGTAGAACCTGGTTTTGAGATCCAAATACTTATCTTCAGCAGCAAATTTGGTTGCTATTTGTTTTCATTCAGATTGTGTTGCCTGTGTCCAGGAAATGAACAGTATTACATGTACTTATGTCACACCTTTATTAAGCTGTCAGAAGACTACTTATCTTTGGCAAAAATGGAGCAAATGAAGCCACTTGAATCTCTCAGTCTAGAAAGAAACTAAGCAGAGAACTATATGTGGAAGTTGCAGTGCTTTCAAGTCTTCCTGGAAGCAAGTGGCATTGCAGGGTGAATGCCCCACATTATTTTTTTTTTTTTGGAGGGGGGGGAGAAGAGGGGGAAGGCGGAAGTTCAGAGGCATTAGAGATGTACAGTACGTTCTAGTGGGAGCACAAAGAAACAGAAGCTGCCAAAGTCGATCAGATTGTGATCCATCCAATCGGGAAAAGCACATTTGCTTTACAAGAAGCCAGTTGCCAAGTGAGTCCATTGTTACAGGCCTTTGCAATAAAGTTGTCATGAATGAGAAGAATTAACAGATTAGAGACACTTGTAGAACAACAGAAAGTCTGGCCTATGTAAGATTATTGGGAGAAAGTCTCAAATTTGCAAAGAACAGTGGATATTAACTAGTAAAACCAGTTTCTCAAATGAAAACGTTGGTGAATGGAAAAACTGAAGTTAATCTAAATAAGATGCACACTGAAGCATAAAGACAAAATCTGAATAAAACAAATAGCAACCAGATTTGCTGCTGAAGATAGGTATTTGGGTCTCAAACTCTCAAAACCAGGTTCTACAACAGATTGGTTTGTGACAACTGGAACAAATTTCAATGCAGGAAGTATATTGAAGAATCACATCCCAGATCTCTGAAGATCGAAATGTATTTGTTGATTATCTGCTGATTTAGGACTAAATGATTCCACCCCCATGAGACTATGGTTTTGTAGCATGTAAAATAAGAACCATAAATTGTACAGGAACAAATACTAGTTCAGGCTGAATGAGATTAGTTAGGTGGGATAAACACTCAATGACAAAGGCATGACCATCTTAGAATGCTGGAGGCAGTTGTGCAAATGGAAAGACCTCAACAGGACGGCCTCACAGACATTCATGGGCATGTTAATTTTGAAAAAAGTTAGGGATGAATTTGCTTAGGTGTGTTAACTTCTCCATTCAGAATGCTGTGTGAGAACTACACATAATGGGGCTTGAATGACTGGCAAGAAAGAATCATTTGGGAATTAAATCACAGAACCACCTGTATTGAAATATTTGGAAAGAGTCTAAGATCTTAGCTGATGCATGCTGACATGATTTGGGGCTGTCCTAAACAATAATTGCCCTATGGCATGTGCTTCTAAAAGCACTGACTAATATACACCAGAACTGTGCTGTGATTAGTGTTGAGTGTCTGGAGTACATAGCACACTTTTCAATGCTGTATAAATAATTACCCCATTAGACACCAATAAAAGGCCTAAAGCAGCTTAATGTTCATGTGAAACCGTAATATTGTTATTATGGGAAAGGGAAAGTTCACAAGAGGAACAGTTTATTGGATCAGGTTTAGGCAGCAGCTCAGTGGCTTTGAGAACTGTATAGATCTGTAATTTCTAGGAAAAGCTCATATCTCCAGTTAGGAAGAGTTACCAGATTCCCAGTCAGGGTTCTGTTACTACCTGGGTGCACTAACTGTAACTTTTTCTGATATTTTGTTTTTATCACTGAGCTCCAACTGCTGAAGCATGTTGTCTATGTGGAAACAAGAGTTCTTCAAGAAGCAGAAAACAAGAATACCCAGCATAAAAGGGGAAGAGCTCCATGAGCACTGTTAACATGTTAAAGAATGTATCTGAACCTACCCTGACACTGTCTTTCTCTGGTGACTTCTCCCTTCACAAACTAAATGAAGATTAGCTACGCCAGGGGTGTGGGTGTGGGTGTGTGTGTCATCTTTTTAAATACATCTGAGTTTCATACTAGCTCTCTCAAAACTTTCCTGAGCCAATTTAATTTAACTGTAAAAATGACAACACTACAGATTATACTTCTCTAACACCGTTCAACAAAGGTTCTCAAAGCACTTTCCAAACATTTAACCCTCAAGATCCCCTAAGAAGTTGATATGTATTAAGTATTTTACAGACAGGTAAACCAAGGCAGAGTAGGGCTTGTGACTTGCCAAAAGATCGCACACAATTAGTATCAGAGCCCAGAACAGAACATAGATAGCCAGATTCCAAGGTCAATATTCTAACCACTGGAAAACATGATGATCAGTGGCAAAGGCTGTTTGCTTCTAAACTTCAGTTGCTTTCAGCTCTGATACACTTGTATACACAAACTTCCTACTCTAAATTTTTAGGCTATTCAATCCAAATTTTTACATACATCATTCAGGACATAAAAGCAAAACAAATCCTTGCAAACGTGCACACAGAGTCCCCTAAACTCTACAATGCTCCTTGAAAATACAACAAGGGATGAATTACTGGTCTCTAAGGAAATGTTGGGCAGAAAGTGACTAAAAGAATGACTGAGCTGTCTCATACTTATTCTTCATCAGAGACTTTCATGTCACATTTCCTCAAATTTTAAAAAACAAACTTTTGAATTGCAAATAGCCAGCAGCACACTCAAAGCTGAGCCCTTCTGCTTTGGACATTGCCAGATATAAAAACTTCTGGAACCAGATTTTTGTGCTAATATCAGGCAGAACAGAATTCAGCTCGCTCTGCCCCAGCTACAGTATGTCTCTGCAGAACTCAATGCCTGTTTGCCAGGTCAGTTACAACTTGAAGACATACAATAGTAATAGGTAGCACCACAGGGACATCTGCAGTCACTTTTCTGACATTAACAGTTTAAAATGAGACAGATCTATGTCTGCAGCTGAAACACCAGATATGAAAAGTGTTACCTCTTCCACAGAGACAAGCAATTTTTATTCTAGCCCAGGCCAATTTCCCTAGGCTGCAACCTAAATGACTGGATTTACCACAAGTGAGGCCACTTGACTGTCTAGCACAGAGATAATTTGCAGGTCAGAACAACTGATTAGCTCTTTGCAAAACTAAAATGGCTCTTGGCTGGGTAACACTAAAATCGCTCACCTGATCGTGGTCAATGTCTGCATCTCCTGTGATGACAATTCTTTTTTCAATTCGTGTCTCTGAAATTCCACCTTTTACAGTCTAGTATGAAAGAACATATGTTACTGGTAGCCTACAGAGCAACAATGACAAAGAATTACAAAGTGGATTGAGCCTGGCTTTCAAAGACAGAACTCAAACTAAAGTCACTTGCCAATCACAAAAACACTACTGGGAAACTAGCATAACTGGATCATAGATAGAGTGAGAGGACACTAAGTAAAAATCTCACCTCAGTGTATGACAATATTCCCTTCTTCCAAACCAAACAAGCACATTGTCAATAAAGAGTTTTTTAGTAAATCAAGTATTAATCATTCCGGTCTGCAGGCTGGAATGTTAATCATGTGAAACGGACACGGTCAATGTAACAAGTTCCATTATTACAGCTGAAAGTCATTTTAAAAATGTAATTTGTATTTCAGCATCTGGAGTATGCACTCTCTGTTGTGTGCTTCACTCAACGTGGACAATGCACTCGGGCTGCTTAGTTTCACTTTGACTCCCAGGAACTAGCACAATAATAGTGTTTAATTTTGTTCAAATTCAAAAATTCCCTGCAACTCTGCATTGAAATAAATAAATACAAAACAAGAAGCCCACAGCAATGTTGGCAGTCCATGACAGCATTAGTGAAGTATTTTAGGTTTTGTAAAACCTTTGATAAAAATGTGACATGGGTCTAGAACTAGGGGACATTCCTGCATATTAGAAGTCAATTGAAGTCTTCAAACTCATCCCTACTTTCTCAAATTGATGATTTCTCACATGTAAGTTTGATTTGCCAACATTCCCCAACTTTAATCATTTGTAGCTCAAACGCTGCATTAATTAAAAAGTTCTAAACAGGACTCAATCTTATTTACCGCACAGAAGAGCAAATAAGAACCCAAAGGCGAGCTACATTTAAAATAAATATCTGGCTAACACACTGATGGGAGGTTCTCAGAACTGCCTCAGGATCCCAAGCTACTGTTGGATCACTCAAACTGTGGTGGTACAGTTCTTCAGGAAGCAAGATAATGTCCATTTCCAAGTGATCCTGAATTGCGCTGGTGTCAGGCAGAATTAAGGGCAGAGAAAGGGGGAAATCGGATTGGAGGGGGAAATATTTGTACAACTAAATATTTGGCAGGAAAAGGCCAACTTTGCTTCCTGTGGTTTGAGCATCAATAGAACTTTTAGATTTCATACCAGTCCTGTTAGCATCACCTTTTTACCTTTGTAATCTGTGTGGTGGTTGTGCTACTGGTGGTCTCTGACGTGATGGTCTGAGCAGTGAGCAGGACTCCAGGGTCTGAGTCCCCATTGCCATCATCTGTCTATGAGACACACACAAAACAGCAATCAACCATCTTCACACAGTCACCATTGCAACAGGACCTCAGTGCTGTAATTTAAGATGATGTACAATCATTGCAAAAGTAGACTTTGCATTATTTATGAGACGAAGTGAAGTGATTCACAGCTGGATGAATAATTAGCGTTTTAGCAGCGTAACAAAAGTTTCAAGACTAATGCTGTCTGAAGGTACAGCACTTAAAGAACCAAGGAGCCATGCTGCCCTCCAACAGAGCCACAATGAAATCAAGCAGAGAAGCCTTGAGATCCATTAGGACATCTGTGCTGTGATCTCACCCAACCACAGGGTGATGATTCTCCATTTCACACAGTGACTTTGTTCAGCTCTCCCGCTCTCAATTCTGGGATGATGAATGGGTCTTCTCTATCCTCTCTCTTCTCCTCTCCCTTTCCAGTTGAATTGGGGTGCTGTGCTGGGAAGGTTGACTCGCATGTTTTAGGCAGCAGGGGTAGTACTACGTGTTTACTTTCTAGTTGCTCTGCATGGTCACAAATTACTTCTACAGATTCCATAGAAGCTACATGACAAGGTCCCCACACCCATCACTCCCCCTGCTCCACCAATACCAGCCTTGTCCACGCTGCCTTTTTTGCATATACCACCTTCCCCGAACTGGTCTATAAAGGCCATTACACTGCTCACATCTCACTTCTGTTGAAACTCCTATAAAAGAATCCGTTCAATTAAGATGGCTGAAGGGGCAGATGGGGTTAGTTGGCATTTTATCCATTTATGATTCTAAACCGGTTTGGAAGCTATTTTGAATCCATCTCCCCCAAGCCCTTTGTACATCAGCCTCTTCAGGGCTGTGCCCAGCGCAGCGCAAGAGCTCTGGATGCTACTAGAACCTAAATAAACCATAAGTAACAACAACTGTGTACCACCTCTTTAATTACCTGGCTCCCATCCTGTACAATTCTCAGGCTTTCCAAAGCCGATCTATTGCTCCAGAGTTTATTGTCCATGTCTCCAAATGACTGAATTAAAGATATACAGTGAGTAACAGCCTCTTTTGTCCAATTATTGTTACAGAACAGTCTATGAGATTGTAATGACAATTTAAGATAAGATTATATCTTCAGAGTGACCACTAGGGGGGACCAGTTTCTGTGCTGTATAAAACTTCAACTCCCCAGAGATCAGCATTACTTTTTGGCCAAATCTCACCTAATCTCCAATAATTAGGTTACAGAATTCTTATTTCTCCCTTGAGACATTAGAGCTAGAGATGTAAAGATGGTGACTAGACTAAGCTGGAGCAGTTAATCTCAGCCACTAATGCTCTGAGCAATACGGGTTCAAACCGAACACTATAACCTGGAGCTTATGCCCAGTACTGGTGCTGCAGTTTGGTTCTGGAGACCATGCAACACTATTTGAGTGCTCTACCTCAGATGGGATGTTAAACAATCAGTTGCTGATCATCTCTGGAGACAGTTTCCACAAGGATGACAGTATGCCAGGTATGCATTAAACAAACGGTCCACTGCACAGATACCTCCTTGCAATAGGCAATCTCATGAACTCCGTATTACAGATAGGGAAGCAGACACAAAGGCAAAGCAAATATTTTCAAATGTGGGTGCCATATTTAGGCACCCAAATAAGTTACCAAATGACACCTGTAAAGTGCAAAGCATTAAAGCCAGTCAGTGGCAGCACAGAACCCAGTTCTTGGTTATTCCTCCACCATTTAGCCTCCAAGTTGCAGACTTCCTAAAGTAAAAAAAAGGTTACTTACCTGTTCTGGAACTGTTCTTGGAAACGGAGGTGTGGACATGTATTCCACTCAGGTGCGCGCGCAAGCAGCACACCAACGTCAGAGAACCTTGCCTAGCAGTACCTGTAGGGGCAGCCCTTAGCCCCTCCCCAGGCTATTTAAGGGCAGTGCCTCCCCATCCCTCTCAGTTCCTCTGACCCGAACATCAAAAATAGAGACCCTGATAGAGAGGCGACAGAGGGTAGGTCATAGTACACACATCTACACTCACATTTTGAAGAACAACAGTCACAGCACAGGAGGTCACCAGTTGCTGTTCTTCGAGTGGTTGTAGACAGACACATATTCCTCTTGGGTGACTCACAAACAGTACTTGGAGATTGGCGCCTACTTAAACAAAGACTGCAGGACTGCCTTCCCAAAGTCTGCATCTGACCTAGACGCAGTGGTAACAGCATGGTGCTTGGTAAAAGAGAAGATCAGGTAGCAGCCCTGCAAACTCCTACTATCAAAACATCACTGAAGAATGCTATCAGTGTGTCTTGGGCCCTCATCAAATGGCCCATAATGTCTATGGAGACATGGTCTGAGCTACATCACATGCTGTTATAAAGCAGGAAGTTATCCACCTGGAAATCAGTTGTGCAGAGAATGACTCTTCACCCGATCAGCATAGGAAACAAAAAGCCTGAAAAGTCCTCTCTAAAACGCCAAGCACCTTCTCCCATCCAACGTGTGAGGTCACTGTTCATCTGCATTGGAGTTTGGTTTAGGGAAGAACACCAGCAATAAATCATTTGGTTAAGGTGAAACTACTTTTAACAAAAGTTGGCCACTTTGTTTGAAAAACTGAGTACACGGGAGCTCTGCCATTAAGACCTATAGCTCACTTGCTATAACATCTGCAAGTAACAAAGACTGTCTTGTGGCACAGGCGGGACCGGGAACAAGTCTCCTGGGGCTTGGGTGGAGGTCCCATAAGGGCAGCTAAGACAGTATTAAGGTCCCACAAGGGAACCTCTTTCACAGGTGGGTAGAGACAATTGACTCCTCTTAGAAATCTCACTATCACAGAATTTGAGAAAATTTCCTTCCCTTGGACGGACCGGTGTCTTGAATAGGAGGACCGATGCCAGGGGTTGGGCGGGATCAGTACTATGACGGAGACCATCCCCGCGGTGTGGGAGACGGGGATCTGTGCCAAGGAGATGGGAGGATGAACAGTGCCAGTGATACGGTGACCGGCGCCTCCCCCTAGGCGATCCACGTCGAGAGGGCAGAGACCACGATGCTGGCAATCTAGGGTGACCTGCACAGGATCTGGGTTGAGAAGCCAGAGATCTGGGGTGTCGAGATAGTGTGTGTTGTTTTGGCTCTAGAGATCTGCAGGGCTGGCTTGCCCTCGTAGGGAGCCTTTGCTGCTTCCTGTGATGCACGCAGTGCCAATGGCGCTGGTAGAGGCCTCAGGTTTCTGGGCGCCGGGAGACCCTGGGAAGACATGAGCCCTGCCACAAGCCTGTGTCCCCTACCACTCCTGGGAGTCAGTGGTGGATCCCTCAGGGGGCCATGGGACCCCATTGGGAAGGCGCTCTGGTGTGGGTGGGAGGCCCGAACTGGGTCCTTTGCCCGATATCCCATGGCCCTTCTTGTTCAGTTCCGGGGAGTTACGTTTCTTCGATTCCTTTTTGGGCACTGGCGACGGAGCCCAGTGCTGGGGTGTGCTATGCACCGAGGCCGAAGTGCTAGGGGTGGAGTCCGTCCGGGAAGGCTCAGAAGCCGGGCAGAGAGCAGCCTCTGGGAGGAGGGCCCTCAAACGGATGTTGCGCTCTTTCCGAGTTCTTACAGGAATGGCCTATAGCTCACGTACTCTTACAGGAAGCAATTGTCTCTAGATAATACGTAGTCCTGCCACGAGTGCAGGGGACTGGACTAGATGACCTCTCAAGGTCCCTTCCAGTTCTATGATTCTACGCGACACCTGTCATTCAGATGTGATTCCCCCCAAGCACTTCAGGCACCTGCTATGGGGGGTCACTAAAAGGCATAGGCCTGTTCCAGTCAGAGCAGGGCTTAAAACCAGAGGCCCCATGGGGCCATTCTGCAGCTTGTAACTACACTAAACAACTACTTACTAATTAACTACTGAAGCAAACTATTTACAAGACCCTAATGCTCAAAAAACAGTAGAGAAGAACCGCTAATCCTTGCTAGGCAAGGAAAAAGGCACTCCGATAACCTCCACGGGCAGTAAGGAGGAACTGAGAGAGCGTAGGGCCGGCGGTGCCTGATGTACTGACGCATGAGCACGGCACTCAAGAGGGCACCACAGTCGACCCTACGGATACTGCTAAGGCAAAAATCTCCGATGACCAGGCATGTGGGTGCGCACACGCCTAGAATGGAATCGGCATGAGCAGCACTCGAAGAAGAACTAAGGGTACTAACTAAATAACTGTAACTATCCCCAGAACAACAAAATCTCAGAAGACCGAGATAGAAAAGCGTGAGGTAAATACCACACAGAACACTCCGACTCTAGCCACAAGCAGGGAGAAGGAATGGAGGAGGGTCAGAGTTGTGCTGCCCTTAAGTAGCCAGGAGAGAGGGTAACAGCTGCAGGGCGCAAGCGCCGCTCCTACAGGTACTGTAGAGCAAAATTCCCCGACTCCTGTGCTTTGGGAGTGCACATTCCTGAGTGGAATACACGTCTGTAGCCACTCAAAGAGGAATCTGTACTACGCACAATTTGGGTATTCTGCTTCATGCAACTGCAGGCCCTCAGCGGTAGGAGTCTGAACTGTAGTACCATGGGGAGTTCCAGTGTACCTTTGTGCCATTTGTGAAGCTCTCATGCTGCTGTTGCGACCTTCCTACACTTTGTCAAAGCCCGCACCTGGAGCCCTTAAACTACTTTCAACAATCGCATTCTGCCAACAAATCTCCAAAACTGGGAAAGGGCACAGGTCCTTCACGACCTGAAGTTTACAGACCAGTCCACTTTGGACTAATGATAAGCCAGAAAAAGATAATCAGGAAAAAATAGTGAAGAGATGTTTCTGAACCACTGTCTGTCTAAAAGCTTATCTGATTTGCCTTGTCAGAAATTTTTTTTACTCTGACATAAAATTACATTTGTAAGATATTAAGAATTTGCATCAAGTCAAAATCTGCTTCAGCCTTAACTATGGAGCCACATTTGAATATAGTTATTACACCACTACTATTCTAATTTACTAATT